CACGCGGGGGCTGCGGCGGCCCGGCGAGGCCGGCGCCTGCATTCCCGGCACCAGCTCGCTGAGTCCCGCCGGGAACTGGCCGGCGCAGAGCACCTCCGAGCTGCTCCTGCAAGGGTGGGCACGCGTCAGCGGCCCCGCGTCGCCGCCCGTGCCRGCGGATCGCCGTTTATCCCGACGGCCGCCACGTACCGGAGCTCCGCGGGGCTCCGSGCGCCGGGAGGCAGCGGGAAGGAGGGCAGGGAGCGGCGCTGGCGCCAGAGGTATCCAGCTGGAAGGTCGTGGGGCAGCTCCGCGTCCAGGCGCTCCAGGGGCAGGGCCAGCTCTGGGGACAGAGAGCTCCGTGGATCCCTATCCCTGCTCATCCCAGGAGCCGGGAAGCGGCCGAACCCCAGCAGAGGCTGGACATAACTCATGTCACACCCAGAGCACCCTGGAGAGCCGGAGGCTTCTCCAGGCTGGATGGAGAGGAGCGTCCGCCTCCTTCCCCAGCCCGGAGCAGCGGGATGCGAGGGCCGCTGCCGGCTCCGTCCGTACCGCTCCGGATGCGGCTCAGCTCCGGGCCCAGCAGCTTCCCCTCCATGCTCAGCAGGATGAACTTGTCCCCTCGGAGCTCCGGGCTCAGCCGGTCGACGGCGCGACGGCTCAGCCGCTCCCGGGCCTCGCTCCGCGTGTCCCGCGCCGCGCTCATCCTCCGCCTGCGGGAGGGAGGGACGAGATGGGGACCGGATCCCATCCCGACGGCACCAGAGATCCACGGGGCATCCAGAGGGATGCGGCCCCATTCCCGGAGCCCGTGGATTTCAGACACATCTTGGCTCCGTATCCCACTATGAGGAATGGGCAGGAAAACRGGATTCCCCAGAGAACCCTTCCTTCCTCCCCCTGCTCCGTAACGTACTCCGAGAGCCCGGCTCCTTCCCAAGCCACGTCCCTGGGCCGGGAATGTCCCCGCGTCCCCCGCGAGGCTCCGCTCCCATGGGGGGAAAAAAGATCAGCGGAAACTGCATCATCATCCGATGCGGAGAAATAGGAGCCTCCGGACTCCGTACTGCGGCACCGCCGGGATCAATCCCCCCGCCGGGACCCAAGGCTGGAGCCGGGGCACTGGACGGGCTGGAAACGGGGGAATTTGGGGCTGTGCTTCCCTGCTCACCTGAGGGGAGCCGTCGGCGCGGCCGGTCCCCGCCGGCGCTACCACGCCGCCGGCTCGGCCATGGCACCCAGCCGGAGCGGCGCCGCTCCGGGCCGGAGGAGAGGGCGGAGAGGAGACGGCTTCCTGCGGATGCACCGGCGCTCCTGGATTGCCGGCGCCGCGCGGAGGGAGGGAGGGGCGGCGAGGGAGGCTGCACGCCGCGGTGCCGGCGGCTGCTCCCGCTTCCCGTCCTCTCCTCTCTCCGGGAAGGAGGGGGAGACTCTAATGAAATCCCCGGCTGCCCGATGCCGGGAGGATCCCGGATTCCCGGTGATGGATGAGGACCCCCTTGCCTGACTGCGGGAGGAATTGCCGGCGGAGGAGCAGGATGCGGGCTGCGCGCGCGGAGCGGGCACGGAGCCGGGGGAGCTCGGAGCAGGGAATGCCGCCCTTCCTCCGCCCCGCTCCGGCGGAGAGCAGCGCGGAGGCTTCCGCGGGAGCCGCCGGCGGCCGCTCCGGGCTGGAGCATCCGCCGCTCCGCGGCACCCGGAGCCTCCCGCGGCCGCCGCCTCGCTGCATCCAGGCGCTCGGAGGGGCTGCAAAGCGCAGGCGCCGGAATCCTGCCATGCAGCGGAGCGGGAATCATGCCGGCGGCTCCGGGAAAGAAGAGCACGGGATGGGGCTGCGCCCAGCCCCGCACGGAGCCCCCCTCCTCCCCCTGCACCATATTAGCCCTTCTGATGTATTCTTGAAAGCTTTTTCTGCTTCTTTTTTAAATAAAAAACTCCCCTTTATAACAGGCTGCTCCCGCTACCTGAATCCACTTTAGCGGCAGCTGAAACTCTGAAATTCCCAGCCCCTCGGATCGYRGCTTCCAGCCCCTCGGATCGCRGCTTCCAGCCCCTTGGATTGCTGCTCCTCACTCTAGGAAAAAAAATCCAGATCTCTCTTATTACAGGAATGAGGAGGGGGCTCTGCCAGGGAATATGGGGCTGGATGGGGAATGAGGAGGGGGCTCTGCTGGGGGATATGGGGCTGGATAGGGAATGAGGAGGGGGCTCTCCCAGGGGATACAGAGATGGATGGGGAATGAGGAGGGGGCTCTCCCAGGGGATATGGGGATGGATGAGGAATGAGGAGGGGGCTCCACAAGGGATATGGGGCTGGATGGGGAATGGGGAGGGGGCTCTGCTGGGGGATGTGGGGCTGCATGGGGGTGAGAAGGAGGCTCTCCCGTGGGGATGGGAGCTTTACCCTAAGAAATGGGGCAGGGGGCTGAGGGGTCTCCCTCCATAGACCACAGACCCAAACAGAAGCTGAGCAGAACCGCCCCCCCCCGCCATTGCGGCCTAGTGTCCAGGCCGCAGCCTCGACATGGCGCCCACGTTACCCCTGGCAACGGCGCCCTCCGGGCAGGGGGCGCGGCGCGGCCGGAAGCGCGCGTCACGTGGCGCGGGCCAAGATGGCGGCGCCCACGGGCGGCGAGACGGGAGCGGAGC